GCGTGGCTGCATGTGTCTCTTCTCCATGGGCCACAGTGGGGAGGTTCTCGGGCTGCAGATGGCCTGCAGGCCGGGATGTTGAGACCCCTGATCTACAGCGTTCCTGGCTCAGGTTCCAACCCAGAAAATCTGCAGAGTGGCGACATACACACTTTCGCTGCTCGCTATGCGATTACCCAGCAGGCCAGAGACGACGCAGCCTTCGGATGAGCAGTATTCCAATCAGTGGGCAACTCACCCTTGTTCCCCTCTGTCGGAGTAGCCGGCAAGAAGGAACTGAGGGTGGTGGGTCAGCAGGGCTCTATATTGAGTGCCATGAAGGCACAACTCCAGGGCGCGCCCAGACTGACCCGACGGATGCTGCTATGGGAAAAATCTTCTGGCCACTGTGCACGTGCACAGGCATACACCTGATTGGAATGGACATGAATAACACATCTCGAAGAACAACCGTTACGAGAAGTAACCGTTTTTTCCTGACCCCAAATATAGCGATTAGATCGACCCTGAGCATGTTGGCAAGACCCACCACACAGATACGTGGGAAATAATTCTCTGTAGTAAGTCAGAGCTCCCACCCTGTAGTGTCCCATCTCCCGCTGTTGCTGCTTTACGTTAATTTTTCAAGTGTGAAAACAGTAGTATTGAAAGAAAATCTGAACCAGCAATGGCAGGTACTACAACTCCTTTACAAAAAGGAGAGTCTGGCCTTCCTTTGTGTACCAGACAGAATATTTGAAGAAAAACATTGAAGTAAATTACTCTCAAAGCATGTATTGGGGAGCCTAGCCAGGGAGAAGAGAAGTTACGGATATATCTGAAGCTTCTATTGGTCACAGCCATCTGTCAATCACAGAGCTTATCTCTCTGTGCTTCTCCAGCCTTGGAGCAGAGAGGGAAGCCTGGGTGGCTGAGATCCCTGTCTCTCCCACAGCTGTGTTTGGAGGGCTCTTGTCAATTTCGATCAAAACATCAAAAATGCAAATTTTTCCATGAGAAGGTTTTCAAGAAAAATTCCCTTTTCAGGAGAACAAACAAAAATTTTTGCGTTACCAGCTGCCACTCAGAGCCTCATTTGGGGGATGACGGGGACACAGGAGGTAGAGAATCAGGGCTTTGGCCTTCCAGGAAAAGCTTTTTTTTAGTCCGTTTCACTGGGGGGGGGTGTGTGTGAAATTGACAAGTGCCTTGCTGGCAGGCAGCTGCCATTTCATTTTTTCCAGCAGAAATTTGAATTTCTTGGCAAAACTAAAATTTTCCCATAGAAACTTTTGGTTCTGCAGAAAAGGCATTTTTGTCAGAAAATCATTCAGATGAAAAATGTTCAATTAGCTCTGTTTGGCATGTCTTCAATCACACATAATTATTGACAATATTTGAAAACAATTAGGCCTATGCAAATTGATGTATCATTTTTATTCTAACAACATTCCATACAGACATCTGTCAAGTGGTGGTAAATTTGTTCTAAATAAATAGGGATTTAAAATAAAATCTGTTTTCTGCTAAATGGGTGTCCTCGAATCAATAGCACTAGGATTGTGAGTCTATGTATCCCCACCACCACAGATATGCACATTTTTATTCAAGTTCCATTAAAAGCTAGCCATAGAGAGTCGGCCCCTTGAGTTTCACCAATGTCATTTATTCCCAGCACATAAGATCTGGCATTATCAAGAGGCCTGAATGCAAATTTTTCTCCTGCTCTGCACTGTTCCTTTAATAGGGATTCATGCTGTTCCAACACCTTCCATTTTGCTAGAACCAGTATCTCCCATGAAAATCTTTTTGTGTACGCTCATCATCCCTACCTTGAAGTAATGAAATTTTGGAGTTCTGTTGCCTCAGAATGTAGATGTTGGAAAAGACAGAGGGTCCTGCATACAGCTACGAACATCTGAAAGCATCGATAAACTCAGCAAACCTTTGGGCTTTGAAAAAGTCACTTGAATCTCAACAACTAAATCTCCACTGTATTCAGATATTGCAACCATATCTATTCCTACCTCGTCAGAGAAAAGTGTCTGAAGACAGATTCTTCTAGGTAGACATTATATAGCATTGACAGCTGTCCCACATCAATCTCTCAGTAGATAGCAACTGTCCAATTTACCGTTCAGCTAGTACTAGTGCATAGTACTACCTGGCATTATAAAGATATTTGTAGAGAAACTATATTACTTAGATGTTTATGGCAACAATTAATTTAATATTTCAGACTACATGATATAAGACATTAGACTCTTGTGGTCTTTGAAGTAAGCTTGCTTTGTTTAGTAGTTAGGAACTGGCACTGTACAGACTCATTGGTGAAAGGCTAGATGATGGCAATCAGTTTATAGTTTCTCTGCCAAGAACATGTCAACCTACAAAGATGCTATAGAGCATAGTATCTGTGCTGTGAAAATAAGATGTGTTGATAAAAGATGTCTCACACAGTTTACCCTGACTCCTTTAAATGCCCTACTGGTGTGTGCCTAGGATCAGTCAAGTTCCACCCCAGTATAGTAAAGTTTGCTGAACTGGATGAAGACCTATGAGGCATCCATTTTCCACATAATTTTGGGGAGGGGGAAGAGAGGTGCTTGGCATGGTTTTCTTAGTGAAGACAGACAAAGAGTTGCAGGAATCACGAGGGTGCCATTTGCTTCTCGGTTATCACCAAGATGCAATTTGGTAAGCATTTTTCTTCACAGTGTATGTTTTCTATTAGTATGCTCCATATTTCATTATGAGTAGAGACAGAAAAAATCAGCAGGCTATTATGGGGGGAAATCCTGTGTAGGTTTTCCCGAATGTGGAACTTCTCATCTAGGTTCTGGCTCTCATTGGCCTTTCTCCATTTTCATATTAATGGAGGCATTTGAACATAAGGACACCACTGCTTTTTTTATAGAAATCCCGGTAGCAGCCAACCACTAGTAGCTCTCAACATTGTGCCTGTCTTCTAGCCCAGTTGTCTCAATTATCTGAATAATCAAGAAGCTAAGAGCATTGGTTTCTCTTTGTCTTGTAGGAGACAAGAAGCTCAATCTTGTCATTTGAGCAGCTCCTGTTTACTTTAACAGTTAAATGTTTCTTAAACAACATGCTAAAGTCTTGGGAAATGAACAGTTCAGGGATCCTTCCTGTTGCTCGCTGCCTTTAATCTTTCATCACCTTGCATTCATCCCACCTGGTTTATACTGCCCACCCAATTTTAACATTACCTCCTACAATTTGCGAAAATGCTTATCCACAAAAATCAGGTTAACAAATTACTAGGTTATCAAATCTCATTTATTAAAAAAAAATCAATTTCAAACAACCTCTTAGTAATTGTGAATATACTTTTGCAAATTTTAGGCAATGTAACTCTGGGATAAGAGTGAGTGAAGGTTTATGAGCAGGGAAAATTGAATTGTCTGGGTCTCTAACTGTTCATTTGCAGATTTTTTTCATCCTTAACACATTAATGCTTTTTTGCTTTAAATAAAATGTGTACATTGTACAATCAGTTCAAGCAATCAAGCCTTTTGGGATCCAGCTGAATATAAGGCACTATAGAAATGCAAGGCTATTATCGCCATCACTTGTGGAAATCCCACCATGCAAAATTTCCTGCTGAAGAATAATAAAAAATTGTTTCAGAATGCTCCCAAGTTTGAATATTTTCTTAATTGACATATGTTTCGGTATTGGATGTAAATACTTCAGTAATCATAGCTGCTCTTCAGTCTGGGTCAATTACTATTTGCTGAGAGCGCACCTTTCATTCAAGAATCTTAAAGCATTTCCCAGAGATAAGACCCATTTTACAGACTGGAAAATGGAAGCAAAATGACTTTCAGTAGTGGAACTGGCTGGTTCCAGATGCCATTTATTACTGATGTATATTAAGCCACTTCCAGCCTCATCCATAAGACAGCTGAGGGATTGTTTTTGAGTCCTGACATGCTTTTGAGGTAGACTTCTGTCACATTTAATCAATGGTTATTTTGGAAGAACCCAGGGTAGCTTTTCTTGCCAGGTTTTCTTTCAGACATTCCTTTTCCATTGAATAGGGGTAGTGTCTTGTAAGGGATTTGTATTGGAGGTGTTGCTTCTGGGGTGCATATAAAAAATTCTTTCTATTTGTATCATTCATAATTGGTGGCTGCTGGAATTATTGTAATTGGTCTTTTCCTTATCTGTCTTCTGTGACCCTGTTTAGTTTGACTTTTTGACTTGGTTTACTTTTGAGACTTTTCTTGCAGTCTGAGGTACCAAGAAGGGTGGTGTCCAGTCAGCATATGTAAAAGTAGGCCATTCAAAAGTAGGTAGTAGCAAATGTGCTGCTAGGTGGAGAGGAGGAACACTATTTTCATTAAATATCTACTTTAGTGTTAGCAAAGTGCTTGTCACTGTGTGAAACCTAAATGCTGTCCCTGCCCCAAAGAGCTTGCATTATAAATAGGCTTGGCGGAATTCATTTAAACAGAAATCAATGTTTGGTTTTAAGCATTTTGATTATTGATTTAAATTTTCAAAGTTGCAGGAAATTATGGTGGGGTCAGACAATAATTATTTAACAGTAGATGTTGAGATTCAAAAGGTTAAAACTTTATAACAGTTGAGAAACACAAATCAACACCACATTTCAAAATATACAAAGTAAATATCCTTAAATCAAACTCTAAGTACTCAAGCAGCGTTTTCCTTTCTTTGCCTATCTGTAAATTTTTATTATTGATGAAAATATATTTGTCAGTTTGTGTATGGTGAAATTGACATTTACGACACCTAGAGATAAAAATATCCTTTCAAGCCTAATTATAAAATGGATAAGAAAAGACTTGGAGATTTAGATGATGGTGTTAGCTTAGTTAACATGCCTAGTACAATTCCAGTGGAAATGCATCCTTCTTCCTTTGTAGTAAGTTTTGCTGGCAATTTGGAAGGAATCCGGCATTTGTTTCTAGTGCTTTGTTACCTTACATTTGCCAGTCATGTTTATACTTGTTTCTTATTTTCCATTTCAGGGCTTTGTCTAGCCATTAAGAGCCATGTCTGATAACGGAGAACTGGAAGATAAGCCACCAGCCCCTCCCGTCCGAATGAGCAGTACTATCTTCAGTTCAGGGGGCAAAGACCAGTTGTCTACCAACCACAGCTTGAAACCCCTGCCCTCTGTACCAGAAGAGAGAAAACCTAGGAACAAAATAATCTCCATCTTCTCTGGCACTGAAAAAGGTAAGATATCTCAGAGCAGGCAAAACAACCTTCCATGAGTACTGGATACGTTTCCCCTTGCTCTTTCATTAGGCTGTACGAGTGTTGCAGACACTCAAACAAGTCCATGATATGAAGATTAGTGTGAATCAGATCTCATTATTCTAGTCTTTCCAACTGCAGATAGTACCTCCTTTAAGGAAGTGCTAATGTCCAGGATACACGTTTGATTTGGCTAAGAGGAAACTTTCCTTTGCAACTGGAGGCCCTTGAACGTGGACTGTTGGGGGGGAACACTATAACTAAATTGGTAACTGGCAGAAAAAACCTCCAAAATAAAATTCCATTCTACCATCTTAAATCACCCTTCAGAAAATCCCTTTTACTTTCTGCTCCCCTTACTGTTCATAGCGTCTGCTTTTTGTCTCTAGTCCTACACGTGGGTTATAAGCCCCTTTTGTTATGTACATGTACAGTGCAGTGGGTCCCTGGTCCTCGATCTCCTTTTGGAGCCTCTGTGTGCCACTGCAATGCAAATAAATAACGAACTAGCCTTCCTTCTTCCACATGCACCCCATTTATAAAATTGTATTTGAGCAAGATCTTCCCAAAGCCTAATAAGTTGCAGCCCTGGAAGTTCGTTTTAGCCTTAACTTAAATTTCCCTGCATTTCAGAACCATAGGGGAAAAAAATTAAAATCACAAAATTAATTTGCTAACAGAATATATACCAAATAAATCCGGTTACACAGTGTAACCTGAGTCTCCTTTAGACATAATATATCGCTGGGCCTTTTAGAATGTAATTGATTTTTTGCATGGGTGTTTTCCTTTGGAGATTATTACTATATCTGCTAAGTGTGTGTTTAAAAAATATTAAAGCATGTACAAATAACTGAGAATTAGAAATTGTCACTGTAGAGGAGCAAATATTTAGACATTAAAATAGAGCTATTTTAAATGTATTGGCATCAGTGTGGTTGGATTTTGTGGGTGAGGGACTAGAGTAACATGTTACTATCTGATATTATTACTAGGAAACCAGTTTTAGCCTCACTGTTTTTACTTCCATTTAATATATTTAATTCGACTACCTCCTGGTTCTGTTCTTCCCCTCCCTGCTTCTTCTTATGCCTGATATACCCAATGGGACTGTTTCAATCATGCTGATACAGGTTTCATCACCTTGCTTGGAGAGACTTTGTTCCTCTAATGATTTATTCACCATATTGAGTCTTTTCCCCTAAGGCAGTTCTTACTTCACTCATCTGTCTGTCCCAATAGCAGTCAGTCCGTGACTATGCTTTACCTCGTAGAAGAAACCCCAGAGGCAGGATCATGCATATTCATAAGATGGCTTTCAGTATTCTTCTGGAATTTCTCTACAATGGATAACAGGCATTAACCTTTGGGAATGGAGTATGTATTCTGGAATAAGGTCACTTTTATTCTGGAATAGTGTCCAGACAAGTGAGTCATCCAGCAGCTGTGGTGGTCAGTTTCCCTGTGTAGACAAGTCCTCAACAGTTAAGGCCTTGTCTACACTAAAGGGAAAAGTCGATCTAAGCTGTGCAACTTTAGTTACGTGAATAGCATAACTCAAATTGGCATCGCTTAGATCTACTTACTGGAGGGTCCACACTACACTGTGTCAACGGGAGATGCTCTCCCGTCGACTGCCCTTACTCTTCTTGATCTGGTGAAGTACCGGAGTCGACATCTCAGCAATTGGCGGTTGATTTAGCAGATCTTCACTAGATGTGCTAAATCGACCCCATCAATCCCGGCTGTAGAGGAGACAAGCCCAGTGGGGTGAGGTAAGTCTGAAGGGACAAGTGTGGTGACAAACTTCTGCTGCTGATTATGGGTGATGGATGGTGACGGGACCAAAACCTCCATGCTGATGGGAAGGGAACAGACCTCCCAGCTACTCATTGGTTGATTAAGTGAGCTGAGGGAGAAGGGCAACTTCTGAATACTGCATATGGAGGATGGGGGCATGGTGTTAACTTCAGGTCACTTCCAATGAGACAGACAAAACCTTACAAAACTTTTAAGGAACTGGGTCTTTTTTTCAGTCTGAGGATTGGGTTCAGTGCCTTTTGTCTGCTGCAGGCCCCAGCTTGATCCACTATTACTACAGAGATCAATATTTTACCATTATGATGGCAATAGTGGCAGCACATGTCAGGTACTGTTGTGAAGGACACAGTATAAATAGCATCCTCCCTCATCTAACCTAGCAGCTGGGGCACTGCCTGTAGGGTTGATTTGCTTATCAGACATTTGCACATATGCCTTCACCAGAGTACTTGCAATCCCCCTCCTTCAAACAAGAATGAAAGGTATTACAATAGTAAGAACCCCATGGGAGGGAAGATCACTCATGTTTGGATTGGCATAGAACAGTGAAAGACCCTCATTAAATTACAAAGTGTAATTGGGTTGAAGCATCATTTAAAGTGGAGAATATAAAGGGCCCCCCGCCCCATGTGACCAACTGGAGCCATGTTCTCCCTCACTGCTCTCATGCTCCCCCAGATATTCTGTAGCTGTTTACTATATATATATAAATAAAAAATAGGTGCCGACTTACAGTAACTCCTCACTTAAAGCCATCCCGGTTAATGTTACGTTGTTGATCAATTAGGGAACATGCTCGTTTAAAGTTGTGTAATGCTCCCTTCTAACGTCGTTTGGCAGCCGCCTGCTTTGTCTACTGCTTGCAGGAAGAGCAGCCCATTGCAACTAGCTGATGGGGGCTTGGAACCAGGGTGGACCGGCAGCCCCTATCAGCTCCCCACTCCCCTAAATTCCCTGTGCAGCAGCTGCCTAGCAGGCTAGCAATTGCAGCTGTCCCTCCCCCCACTGCCATGTGCTGCTCCTGCCCTATGCCTTGGAGCTGCTCCCTGAGACTCATGCTTGCTGTACGGGGGGGAGGAAGGAAGAGGGGGGCTAATGTCAGGGTGTCCCCCTCCCTCTGCTCCTGCACCCCGCTTACCCCATCTTCCATAGAGCAGGGGGGACACACCAGGGCTCAGGACGGAGGGAGCTTGCAGCAGCTGCGGTCTCAGCAAGCTGATCTAATTAACAAGGGAGTGTACTTAAAGGGGAAATGCGCATATCTCCCTCCATTCCTGCTGCCTTGTAGAGCGAGAGAGAGTTAACCCTTGAGGCCTTGAGGGCTCAGCCAATTGGTAGTTCATCATTTGACAGTAAGGGAAATATCCCGTCCTCTGACTCCTCTACCTCAACCAAGCTTCACAATCATCATCACTGTGTACCAGTATTAAATTGTTTGTTTAAAACTTATTGTGTGTGTGTATATCTATCTATCTATCTATCTATCTATCTATCTATCTATCTATCTATCTATCTATCTATCCCCGTACATGTCCGGCTTTTTAGTTGTAAATTGCCGTCCGGGAGGATTTTTTAAATATCTAAAAACATCCGGAAAATACGGACATATGATATCCCTACCCACTGCCCCCTCTCCTCTTGGGGTGTCAGCTCACTCAGCCTGCGGATTGCAACCCCCCCATGCTGCTGCAACCCTGCGCCCCACGGCTTGGAGCGGTGGCGTCTCTGCAGCCAGCTGCTGCTGCGGGGAACCCGCGGCCGCTTCTCCCTCCTCTGAGCATCCCCTGCAGCTCTGGCAGAGTCTCAGTCTCCCCCCACCTCCATCCTGGCCGTGCAAGGAGCCCCCCCCCCCGCCAGCGGTCCGTGCAGCCGGGGCTGCCTCCCCCCCGGCAGAGCCGCTGCCCGGGGGCGGGTCCCGGTGCAGGGGAAAGTTTCTCAACACGCAGCGGCGGCGGGTCCCAGGAGCCCAAGCTCCCCCACCCGGGAAGGGCCCGCGCTGCAGCACCTCCCGCAGCCTGAGCTGCCGCAGCTTCGCCAGGTCAGGCTGGGAGGGGGGTGGAGGCTCCCCTGAGGGAGGTGAAGGGTGGAGGACTCTGAGGTGGGGGGGATTCTGAGGGTAGGGGGCTATGGGAGGGAGTGGCGGGCTCTGAGGCAGGGGCTGTGAAGAGTGGGGGCTGTGGAGGGGGTGGGCTATGGGAGGAGGTGGGGAAATGAAGGGTAGGGGTTATGGAGGGAGGTGAAGGGGAGGACTGAGGTGGGGGTGCTGTGGAAGGTGGTGGGGGCTGTGGAGAGTGGGGGTGCTGCGGACGGCAGGCTCTCAGGAGAGGGGGTACTGAGACAGGAGAAGGCTGAGGATGGGCCCTGTGGAGAGCGGGTGGCTCTGGGATGAGGCCTGGGGGTTCCGGCGGGTAGGTGGGCGGGAGGTGGCTCTGGGGGAAGGCCTGGGGGGGGCTGGCTTTTTGGTGCTCCAATCCCC